AGGCTCTGAGCTGGCAGTCAGCACAGAGCCTGACGCGGGGCTCGAACCCACGAACCGCGAGATCATGACCCAAGCGAAAGTCAGACGCTTAACTGACTAAGCCACCCAGGCGCCCCCCGGGAGCCTCTTTTATAAACACCCCGACTCCCCCCACCCCCCCGTTCGGGCGGCTCACTCCTGGTGACCTCATCACCTCCTGAAGGCCCCACCTCCCAATAGTTGGGATTTCAGCCTATGAAGTTGCGGGCGACACAAACGACACAAACGCTCAGACTGCGGCAGTACCTGGGACAGTGGTGCCGGTGTCCAGGCTGCTGTGCAAGCTGGAAAGTGGAGTTTGAGGCCTTGCTGCTATAGCCCTCTGAGTGTGGCCTGGAGAGGCTGGAAATGAAGAGGGTCTGGCTGTCAGGCCCGGGGGTCCCACCGATGCTCTGTACTCACCGGGCAGGGGGCTGGGAGTCAGCCAAGCAGACTAGGGTGAGCTGGAAGCAACCACGGAAGCTGGGTCTGGTGAGGTCACGGTGGATGGTCAGGGCCATCTGGGCCAAGAGGAAAACATCCTAACTGGGAAGAGTATGGACAGTGAAGAGCACTACTCACACCAGATTGTGCATTTGTTCAAGGCTGAAAGCTCTACACATTGAGAGGGGCACACGGGGACACAGCCTGGAAGTTTGTCCAATAGATGAATGAATGAATGAACTATGGCAGCCTCCCCTTCACTGTGGTGTCTGCCCCCCCCCCCAAATTGTGGAACTTCAGCTCCATGAGAACAGATGCTTGTCCGCTGTGTTCACTGCATTGCCTGGGGTAACGTTCAGCATAAAGCAGGAACTCCGGTTTTTCAAGAGAGAGGGAGGGGAGGAGAGGGAGAGACCTGGGTTCAAGTTCCTCTCTTTACTCCCAACACCGTGAGATCTACTTTACCTCCCCTTTCCTGACCTCGGCTTTGCTGTTTGTAGAAGGAAGGGTGTCTTAGAGTCCTTTCAGTTCTGCAAACACTTGTGTGCTAAGGACTGGGATTCCTGGGAGACTGGAATCCCATGGCCTACGTCTGACTCTGAACTTTAGGAAGGACGAGTCTGAAAGTCCCTAATTGGTTATGTAACAAGGGCTCCGTCAGGGTCTCTTAGATAAATACGTGGTGAACGAATTTGTGTGAGAATGAGTGCTTCTGGGCCAGGCAGTGTTCCAAGCTCTTACGTGAACCCAGTCTACTCCTCACAAGGACACTACTGGGATTCCCACCTTTCCAGTGAGGAAACTGAGGCAGGGAAAGGTGAAGTAACTTGCCCAAGGTCACCAGCTCAGGAAGGGCAAAGCCTGGATTTGAATCCAGTCTATAGAGCCCTTGGTCTGCACAGCCCCTGCTCTTGGCTATAAATGGTGGCTGAGCCCGGGGGGAAGCGGAGAGGGAGGTGCCCTGTGTTGCAGAGGTGGGTCTATTATGGGGCAGGGAAGTCCATAGTCACAGGCCACACCCAGCCTTTGAAGGGCCCAGATCCCCAGTCTCATGGTGGAAGGTGCCAGAGTCCGGGCGTGTGGCTGTGGGAATGGAGAGGGCCCCGCCACCCACCGCGATCGCTGGTCCATCCCGTTCCCGAATCACCTCAACAGCCAGAAACTGCATCGGATCGTCATCTCCTTGTTTTGGACACATTCCGCCGGGGACAGGTTCCGGGCTGCCACCTGGGGCTGGTGGCCTTCGCTGGGGGGGCGGGGGAAGAGAAGCTGGAGGGGATCTGGAGCCCCAGGAGTCATCAGTGGCAGGAAATGGCTCCCTGGGACCTTGGAAACACCCATTGCTGGCTTCGCTGTTCCGAAGTGAATGTATCTGGCACCAGCCTCAACTCTAATGGGCACGCACACACGCACGCACGCACACACACGCACGCACACACCACGGACTCGCTCACTCCACTGAAGACTGGGTCCCAGATCCTCTCCCCAGGAAACACACCCATGCACACATCTGCATCCAATTTCAGGTCATTACGGGCCACTCTAAGGACCGACTGCAGAGGCCAGGTGAAGACTAGATTCTAAATTAGTTCAAGATCTTGGAAGAGAGTTTGGAACACAGATCAAAAGCTTTGAAACTTGTATCTCTTTTGCCATAGTGGTTCCACTTTTTATAACTATTGCTAATGAAATAATCATAACCGCGTGCAAAGAACTAGCTACAAAGAAATCTGAGGCCACATTGTTTATAAAAGGGCAAACTGGAAAGAGCCTTAATTTACAATGAAGACTGTACTTTTTTAAATGTTTATGTTATTTTTTAACTTTTTTTAATGTTTCTTTATTTTTGAGAGAGAGAGGGAAAAAGAAAGCATGAGCAGGGGAGGGTCAGAGAGAGGGAGACACAGAATCCGAAGCAGGTGCCAGGCTCCAAGCTGTCAGCACAGAGCCCGACACGGGGCTCGAACCCACGAACTGTGAGATCATGACCTGAGCCAGTCAGACGCTTGACCGACTGAGCCACCCGGGTGCCCCACACATTCTTTTCAACCATTCATGGAACATATACCAAGACAAGCCATATCCTGGACCATAAAACAAAACTCAACAAACTTTAAAAAATGGAAATCACAGTGTTCTGTACCACAATAGACTCAAACTGGAAATAAGTAACAGAAAGAGAATAGCAGACTCCCTAAACATTTGGAGACTGAACAGCACATTATAAATAAGCCACTGGTCAAAGAGGGAATGTCGGAGAAAAACCAGAAATATGTTGAACTGCATGAGAGTGAAAATACTACGCATCCAATTTGTGGGATGCAGCTAGAGCCATGCTGAGAGGGGAAACTGGTAACACTAACATGCCGACATTAGATAAGAGGGCAAGTGTTCGATAATCTAAGGTCCCACCTCAAGAAGTTAGAAAAAGAATAAAATAAATCCAAATCAAGCAGAAGAAAGAAACTAAGAGCACAAATCAATGAAACTGAAAAACAGAGAATTTCAATGCAACAAAAAGCTGGTTCTATCAAATGATCAATAAAATTGATTAACCTCTCCCATTACTGACAAAGTAAATAAAGAGGGAAACTTCCGATTTCTAATTGATCAGAAAATCACCAATATTGGGAAAGAAACAGTAAACACCATTAGGCCCGGCTGCCAGCAGTGGGACAGTAAAGGAGTATGACAAACAGGTCTACGCATTTAACCATGGAGAGAAAATGAACCAGTTCCTCAAAGAGTACAAACTACCACCACTAACCCAGTATGAGACAGATTATTGGAATAGCCCTATAATAATTAAGGAAACTGATTTTATAATTAAAAAAATTTTTTAATGTTTATTTTTGAGAGAGAGACGGACAGAGCATGAGCAGGGGAGGGGCAGAGAGAGAGGGAGACACAGAATCTAAAGCAGGCTCCAGGCTCTGAGCTGTCAGCACAGAGCCCAACGCGGGGCTCAAACTCACGAACCATGAGATCATGACCTGAGCTGAAGTCAGACGCTCAACCGACTAAGCCCCCCTGGCGCCCCTAATTTAGTAATTTTAAACTCCAGAAAAGAAAGAAATCCCTAGGCCCAGAGGGCTTTGCATGAGGGTTCTACCAACTGTTTAAAGAATCAGCACTAATCTTATTCAATCTCTTCCAGAATACAGAAAAAGGAGAAATACTTTTCTATCCATTTTATGAGCCCAATATTACCCTGATACCAAAACCAAACATAGTACAAAGAAATGATATTACAGACCATATCTCCACATGAATACAGACACAAGAATTCTCAACAAATGTTAACAAATGGACTTAAAAATATATACAAAGAACTGTACATCAGCAACAAGTGAGCTTTATTTCAGGGATCCAAGCCTGGTTTCATATTTGAAAACCAATTAATGTCATCACAGTCATATAAATTCATGAGAGGGGCCCCTGGGTGGCTCAGGTGGTTAAGCGTCCAACTTCCGCTCAGGTCATGATCTCACGGTTCATGGATCTGAGGCCCGCGTCCGGCTCTGTGCTGACAGCCTGGAGCCTGTTTCAGATTCTGTGTCTCCCTCCCTCTCTCTCTCTCTCTCTTTCTCTCTCTCTCTCTGCTCCTCCCCTGCTCATGCTCTGTTTCTCTCTGTCTCAAAAATAAATAAAATAAAGTTTTTTTTAAAAAAAAAAAAGAGCATTTGAGAAAATTCAATATCTGTTCATGATTAAAACTCTCAGAAAACTAGGAATGGAGGTGAATTTTCTCAACTTGAGAAAGAGTATCTACACACACGCGCACTACAGCTAACTTCACACTTGATGGTAGAAGAACGAATTCTTTGCTCCTAAAATTAGAAACAAGTCAGGATGTCTCATCTCACTACTCTTATTCAACAGAGGACTGAACATTCTAGCCCATGAAATAGGCAAGAAAGGGAAGTAAAAGGCATATATATCAGCAAAGAAGACATAAAACTATCTCCGTTTGTGGGTGTCACAATGGTCTAAGAAGAGAATCCTGAATGATATACAAAAACCAAAACCAAAATATTCCTACAGCCAACAAGTGAGTTCAGTAAGGTCTCAAGGCACAAGATCGATACCTAGAATTCAACTGCATTCCTGGGTACCAGCAGCAAAAACATGGAAACAGAAATTTTAAATGCAACATAGCTTACATGTTTTCTTTACTCATTCATCCATCAAAGGACAACTTAGGTTGCTTCCATATCTTGGGTGCTGTAAATAATGCCACAGTGAACATGGGAGGTGCAGACATCTTCTTGACTTAGTGTTTTTGTTTCCTTTGGATAAATACCCAGAAGTGCAACAGGATATGTACAACATAAGCCTGGAACATCCTATGCCAGAAAGGAAGCAAGTGCTTTTGAAAAATGGGCGTGTCACACAGAAGATTAAAGAGGCTGTCACTAGCCACACCTGGAATAATTTATGCACCAAAATATCAAGTGATGAGTTATAAACCATTAAAAAAGAAACTGTAGGAGTGTATATTGATGAGAGATAGATTGATGGATGGATGGATAGATATGGATGGATGATAGAAAGATGGATGCATAGGGGCGCCTGGGTGGCTTAGGCAGTTAAGCGTCCGACTTTCGCTTAGGTCGTGATCTCGCGGTTCGTGGGTTCGAGCCCCGCGTCGGGCTCTGTGCTGACTGCCAGCTCAGAGCCTGGAGCCTGTTTCAGTCTGTGACTCCCTCTCTCTCTGACCCTCCCCTGCTCACGCTGTCTCTCTCTCTCCTAGAAAATAAAAATAAAATAAAATAAAAAGAAAGATCGATGCATAGATAGTAGACAACAGATGGTCGATAAATAGATGATAGATGGCACATAGGTAGATGACAGATAGATAATAAATGACAGATGAGAGAAAGAGAAAGAGGAAGGGAGGGAGGAAGGGTGGAAGTATGGAAGAAGGAAAGGAAGAAAGAAAATAGACACTAGGAACAAGAGGTAGAGGAGGGATCTTGCTCACGGAAGAATCCCAAGGGCTGATTGCTCAATGTTGAGAGTGTTGGACTCAGGAAATCATCATTTTCCAAGCAAGAGCCATCCATGGGCTCTGAGC